TTGTCCAAACACAGTGTATATTTAAATTATATTAGCTCATGAAATACAAAAGTAAATGCAAACTGTGAAGTTTTTCTAGGAGGCAGAAACTGTTTTTAACAGGAGACATTTGGACACATACAAATAAGTTGAACATAAGGAGCTTTTAGTCAGTCCACATAAAAGTTGCTCCAGGCCTTTCCTAGGGCTTCTGGGTGCACATCTTTAACATTTTCTCCTGTGAACTCCTTAAAGCAGTATATTTAGATTCCTGTGTAGAACTGGGCTGTATAAGCTGCAAGTGTTTGTAATATTGTTTGGTATACTTCAGCAAAGCCGGTGCCCTGCTCTTCCCTTCTCCCAGAAAATTGAACACTAGACCCCAAAAGCCCTCTCAGATGTCCTGTCAGAGGAATGGGAAGTAGACTTGACAGTAGGACAGGGCTATGTGGAGTGAGAAATAAGCTGTTACATCTGGTGAAGGTACTTTTAGTAAAGCTGTATTTAGAGCTTTGATACTGAAGTTTCTGGTCGGTTAAAATCATTTGAGGATGTTCGTCTAAAGAGCTCCATGCAGAGGCATGGGTTTTGTAGTCAAGCAAAAGGCTAGAGTTTTTAGAACATCTGAATTTCGCATCCTTTCAGAAACCTCCATGACTTGGGATTGGGAATATTTATGTCATATCTGGGCAGCCTCAATGGTTGAGGTTTGAGAGTAGATTTGGGAGCTAGAGTGGCTGAAAGTTGCCCAGCTGTGCCACACTGCCAGACTTTCCAGTGTTGCGGGGTGATGACATTTAACTGGAGTTTGGTGTGGGAGTGAGGGAGAGTTTGAATCACCAGTAAACTCCTGCCACGACCATGGCTGCTGAAGGCAAGTGCCTGTGCCAAGTTGCTCTCCAGAAGCACCTATTTTGTCAACAAAGGTTTATAACATATCACCCGGGACAAAGAGAGCATTACCCACTTGAGGGGCTGCTATAAAGTTGCTTGCCCTTTGCTGCTTCTGCCTCTGATTTTTGGGGGAGTGGGAGGGGAAGGGAGGTTGTAAGGCATGGTGACAGTGGAGAGGGGAATGCAGTGAGAGGAGCCCCTGCTGGCATGGCCAGTCTGAGCCATTCAGCAGGGCTGAATACGATAAATGCTGCTTTATCCCTTCTTGAATGGAACAAGATAGCACAGCCTAAATGCCTGGGTGTGCTTAAATAGGCAACTCTGGGATGCTGGAGTTGAGGGCATTTGAAATCGGAGCTCCCCAACAGCCAGGGAGCTGCCACAGGTCACCTGCCTTGCTCCGTGGGGATTGGCCCAGGTCTGTCAAGAAATCGTCCATGGACGAATTGTAGTACAAATTCCTTTCTCTGTTGGTTGGCCTCTTTCACTAGACCATGGCCTATAAAAAATTGTGTAAAAACAATTCTTAAATATTATTTGAAAGGGCAAACGGCCACGCTGAAAGGTTTGACAGTTTGACATATAGCGCCTGGTTCTGCTCGCCAGGGAACGGGCGTGCGGAGTCTGGGCTCTCCTTCTGCTCCTTACAGGCTCTGCGTTTGCTTTTTTTTTTTAAAGTAGCATCTAGTTGCTGTGCAGAGTTGCTGTGCTCCCAGCAATTTGACAGGCAACGAGTCTGCTTCAGTGATCTTAAATCCTTTTAGACTAATTTGCGAGCGAGCAGAAAAACAGCTAGCACCTTCAGATCCAGCACTCAAAACCAGGGAATCAGGTATTGCCAATTAAAGTGCCATTTCCAACCATCATATCAAGACAGATTACTTGCAGTTCCTCTGATAATGTCACGCCATGCCTAAAGAGAAAGTGAGACGGAGTTTCTCCATGGACAAAGGATCTGCATGGACCAAACTGATCGGGGAGCAGGGCAGAGGGAGCTCGATGGGGATCATGCACACACCCACGCATATGTGCAGCATAAAGGCGAACGCTGTGCCCGCTTTGACCCCAAATAGCCATGGGCCATTCTGAAGAGCCTGTGGCCCCTCAGTCACTGGCCTACTAGTTAATTGCCACACGGACTTCGTGACACATGGGCAGATAATATGACATTTTCGGTTTCTGTCACTAGCAAACGCCACAGCGTTGCTTGCACTAGTTGCTAAGAAGCTGTCAGAAACCATTAGCAGCTGGCTAAAGTTGCCCTATGGCATTTCCTCATGGCATCAGCAAAACAAGCATAAATCACCCAGCGGAGCCTCCCGCTATACTAATGAGGCTGTAAGCTTGTTTATGGACTAGCATCATTTCTATGATTATTTCCACCTTTTCAGTTCGCCTTCATTTGGCGGCAGGAGAAGTCAACTTCAGGAGCAGAGTTGCAACCGACATTTTACAAATGCAATTCGTAGCTGCTACCGTGTGGCTGGTCAGTGGTGCTTCAAGTTTGTTTAGTGATCTTTAAAAGGAGGAAAAGAGGGGGGGAAAAGAAAAGGAGGGGGAAATCTCTGGAGACCTCACAGAGGTGAGTGTATCGAGTTGCAAAGTAGATGGAAATACTAAAATCCACAATTGACCATTTAGACTTCTCTCTGTGGTTTCAGTCTTTACGGGATCAATTTTCCATTAAAAAAAAGTGGAAGAGGTTAAACAGTTTACAGAAGTCGACTGAAGCCTTTGCTCCAAGGATAGCCGGGTGCTTTCTTATCCCCTCACTGCTTTTCACTTTCTCTAACTTGTGTCGGTCGAGGCCAGGGTTTATTGTTTTAGGCTTTTCTGAACATACACCAGTATTTACACTGGATTGAAAGCATTTGCTTCCAATGAAAATCTTGTCTTAGATTACAGCCCAGCAGTGTAATTTCCCTCCCAGATGGGAGTAAAGTAGCAGTATTTGCCTAAAAACAGTAGGAAGAACAAACTATGCATTAAGCCAAGGCTGTTTTTGGCTTGAGCTAATGATGTAACAGAAACCTTTTATTTGGGATAGGTCACTGCCCGGGATTGAAGGAGGTGATCTGGCTCACGCTTGAAAGGTTTCTCCATTGTATCTACATAAGTCTTCACTTAAAAAATCCTGTTCCTAATGCTTCTGCTTTCATACAGCAGAAATAAACAGGAAAGGTTCTGGGGAGTGTTATAGGTGGAATGCAGAAAGCTTTTCCTCCCCTAATGGAGGATATAATTCAGGTGCCCTGGAGGCATGCTTTCAGGAATTCTTTTGCCCGAGGTAATGGGAAGCTAAGGCTGCTTGAAGGCCTTGATTATCTATTGATGCACAAAGCTGGAAAAAAAGTCATCTCCCTTGGATTATAGTAGATATTTCCATAAATTATCAATGAGTCCTCCTCCCATCAGGCATGAGGCAATGCCTGCTAAATTAATCTGAAGGGGGTTTGAAATGAGTATATTTTTAAAAAAATGGGGTGGGAGAGAGGGTGGGTGGACAATGGCAGGGAGGTGGTGAAAGGCTGTGTCATTAGGTTAGAAGCTTTTCATTTTTAATCAATGAATGCGTAATACTTTTCTTTTCCTTGTTTGCCTCTTGCAGACAGAAAGTAGATTAGCCCATGGAATTTTAAATGCTGTTGAGTTGTTTCCTTTGCTCATGTTTCTTTTATGAATTATTATTTTATATGGTGAATTGCTTCTCTGTATAAAAGCCTTTTTTTACGTACTGGGCTTTCAAAGAATTTGTTGGATATCTAATTTCTTCATAAAAATCTTGTGTTTGTCTGTAACTACCCAAGGTTACAGTTTCATTAAAGACACAGGCCAAGTCATAAGGACAATTATAAATTTGCCACACTAAGAATATAACACTAATAATAGCTTTTTTTTTTTTGGTGCTGAAAGCTGTTTAACAAATCATGACAGTCTGCATCCCTTTTTTTAAAATATATTTTATTTCTGTCCCTAACAGAGATAGTTTGTATTCAGCCAAACTGAGATTACTTTCTTCATCATTCTTGCCCAGGGGTGCAAAAAACACTTGCCTAATAACATCACAACTCCGTGTTGCTACAAATACAGTGTCTTTGGAAGCCAGGATATGTTGTTCAGTCCACATGCATTCAACACAAAGACTTCTTTGCTCTGTGGGCTTGTTTATAAACTGCTTTCAGTGTTTGCAACAGAAATTGCATGCAAACTGCTAGGCACTGCAACTTTTGTTTTCCCTTGGCCGCTAAGCCATCAGCCCAGACCCAAGCGGGCTGTTGCACAGTGGCATCCTCCCACAGATGTGTTGCTAATGTGATGAGAACTGTCTGAGACCTTCTCTGCGTTAAGGAAATTCATTCTGGATCAGTGATTGTTTCACAGAAGCAGACACCTATTACAAATATGGCACACTGGCACAAAGCAGGGTGTTAATTCCTAATGGTGTATATCAAATTGGTGCCTGCTTATCCCCCTCTGAATTTCTTTTGGCTGGGGCTGGGAAGAGGGGACCCAGTTAGCTACCCACCTCCTATCAAAGAATCAGGGGAAGTCCAACATCTGTAAAAGACTTAACATAAGCAATGCCTCAATAATCTGAGTTTTTTTCTGAATTTGCTGAGAGCATATGATGTTGCAAGGGAGCTGAATTCACCCCACTTTTCACACCGCAGGGTGGGATGAGGCACCCAGCTTCACACATGTCATGATCCCCATCCCAGAACACCCTTGATGCTTTCCTAATTGTCAGCTCAGCCAAAGTAGCTGATTGGGATGAATCTTTGGGAAGTGACCTAGTGTGAAGAAGAGCCAGCATTTCCACCTTTGCAAGTTGGGTGCTTGCAAATATTTTTTATAATTTATAAGCACTTTTTGTTCTGGGTTACAATGGCAGAGATGGCCACACTCTCTTTCAAGATAAACCGGCATGGGGCTAACACATTTCTGAGCCCCTCCCTCTCCCCATGTCTCTTCCCCCCCCTTCCCCCATCCCCTCAACCCCTGGTGAATTACATTGTTAAAGAATTTATACCTCATTTAAATATTCATGCAGTTTATACCCAAAGCCAGGCTTCGGCTGAAGTATATAAAGGTAGCATAAGTCAAAATTTGATTCACTATATTTACAGGTGACGGCTTGGACAACAGTGTAGCTTCCCCCAGCACAGGTGATGATGATGATCCAGATAAGGACAAAAAGCGACATAAAAAGCGTGGCATCTTTCCCAAAGTAGCCACAAATATCATGAGGGCATGGCTGTTCCAGCATCTAACAGTAAGTGAACTCTAGATCACATATGCAAAATAAAACATGGATAATGTCATAGTTGTAGTAGTCATAGAAAGCAAAAAATACATATGATGTTGCTGCCAGGCAGTAGAGGGACTTTTCTGAGCAGAGTTGTTGTTGTTGCCTCATTTGCTAGATGCCAGGGGAAGTGCATAGAGCGTATGTTTTTATGGTATGGGGGTTTTTTGTGTGTGTGTTGTTTTTAGATTTGTTTGTTTGAGACACAATTGTTAAGGGGACATCACTGCCAAATGTGATTTTTACTTAAAGCTTATATGAACACAACCTTGCAGACCTGTCCTGCTTTGCAGTGAGTATCACTGCATTGGAGCACAGAGCAGCATTTGGCCTCTGGTTCTATGCTCCAGAGAATTGCAGAAAACAATTGGGGAGATTAAAAAACAAAGCCAGAAGCAAACAAAGACCTTATTCAGATGTTTGTCAGAGATCATCAGAAGCTTCATGATGAAAGGTCTGAATGTGTCTGGTTTAATAGCAAAGTATAATTTTTGTCTTTGAGACATTCTCATTCCCAGAGTGTAAGTTACCCCTGTATTTAATGTTAGGAAGTGGTGGGGGTATGCACAGTTATTTCTGTTACCACAGCTACCTGTATAGGGTTATTTATTCCTGGGATTAGAAATCAAAGCTCTGTACAGGTGTGTGGGGTTAAGCTGGATGCTGCAGCTGCTCTCAAGGCTTTAATTATAAATACACACTTTAATTATATAATACACACCACACCTTCAAACATTAGCCACTGGAAAAATGTTTCTAATGCCATTCTCCTTCTTCATCAAATTATGGTGATCTGTCACTGTGTTTTTATCCACCATGGGGATCTGGGCTTTGAGCCCCAGGTTTTTTGCCTCAGCCTTTCTGTGCCAGGAGGATAAGGGTCAGGAAGGGGCTGCTAGGGTGTCTGCAGGTGGTGGTGAAGAAGGGCTCCTGCCTCTAACCCCGTAGCTGACTCTTCTCTGCCTGTAGCTAGGGTCAGGATGAAACTAGAAGCTGGCCAGCTTGCCCAGCCCTGGTGGGAGCTGTGCCAAGGGTGTACTCATAAAGAGGAGGAAGTGCTCATGCACATCACCCCTCCATCCGCTGCTGAGCCAAGAAACCAGATATCTGCCATGACTCTTGTCAGCACGGGGATCAGGCAGGGAATCCTGTCCTGTGCGGGCCTGGGTTGCTATGAATGAACCTTCATGTTGGAGGCCAGAGAGGGCCTCAGATATCTCCAGGTTAATCTCTCTGGCAGACTCCATGTCAACCATGCCCCAGCTTTGCCAGGTCCTCAGCCCTGTCTGGTGTGTTCATCGCTTCCCAAAGGCTGAGGTCCCTTTGGTGGTGATGGCTCCTCCTTTGTAGGTCCTCACCCAAGATGGGCTGACACCTGGTATCTCTCTGCAGGTAGGTGTGAGGTTAAGGAAATCCACCCCCAGAGCAGTCCATGGGTGCTGTGCCAGCAGCAGTGCTCACACCAGCCTGATGTACCTGTTAGGTACTCTTAGGTTCAGGAGTCAGGGGAGGCCCTGGGAGCTCTGCAGTCAGGACAAGGCACACCAGGGAACACTGAACAACTGCTTGTCAGTTCCTGTAGTTTCCCATGAGGAATTGCAAATTAAGTACTATAAATATTTTTTCCTGAAAGTGGCCTGTTTTTGTGTTTGTGTCAGTAAATAAAGCATCACCTAAATCTGAGCACAGGAACACAAAGGTCAATACTGGCAAACTGTTTGAGCAGTCTTCAATGCACTCTTAGCCTGGGCATTCCAAATGCCTTCCTGGGAATATGGCAGAAGGCTACAGGGTGTCTCTAAAAAGCCTTTGTGGTGGGAGACGCCCTGTGTAGAGCATTTAACTACATGAGCTTGACCTGACCCTGCAGCTAATTTCATGCTTAGTCTCAGGACCAGGGAACAGATTGAACAGACTCCCTCGCTGTTTCACCTGTGTTAGGTGCAGGGTTTTAGTGGCTTTTTGCTCTTCTCCTGTGTGGTAATAGTGTTCAAAAGAGGAGAGTGCCTACTGAGCTTGCTCCAGGCTCCTAGCAGCCCCTGGGAGACAATATCTGGACATCTGCTTGTAAGGTGGTCTCTGCTTCTGGAAGACTCAAATACAGAAAGAACCATTCCCTCCAGGACCTATGCAATGCTGCATTTTCTATCTTGTAACACTGAGCTATAGCTTGCTTTAAAAATCCACCATCCCCGGTGCATCCCCAGCCATGTGAAGCATGCAGTTTTTTTACAGGGCAGCATGGTGGATTCAGATTTTATCTGATCAGTTCAGTAAAACAGAATTGGTTTATCCAGTCTGACCTCCAGGCAGGACCTTGAAACACACCCTAAGTAGGATCTTGGACAGTTTCCTTGAATTAAAACATGTCTGAAGAACATTGTAGGCTCTTCCAAGCACTGAAGCAGCAGAGCATGTTCACAGGCTGCTTGAGGTGCAAAAAAACACCAAAACATACCCAGGCCCAAAAAATGGCTGTGATAAGAGCTGAGGAGTAGTGGGGGGAGAGACTGAAGGAATTAAAACTCCTGTTCATTTTTGAGGGCATCTGGGCTTCATGGCTGCTCTTATAACACTGCACAATGGTATAGGTGGTGTCCCCACCTGATGTCCTTGCTGCAGGAGGGAGATCATCCTGAGGAAGCCAGAGATCCCATAACAGTTTGTTTATTTATTTATTTACCCATTTAATTATCAGTGGATTTGGTTTTCTGTAGGGTGAACACCAGGTCCTCCATAAAGTGGGAGGTGAGGAAAGACAGAGGGATGGTTCTGTTTAGGCAGGGGATATGTCATGACTGGTGATACCTCTCTTTTGCCCCTAAAGGCAGCACTTTACCTGCCTTCATTTTGCCATCTGAAAAATGGCAGAGAAGAAATGAGCAGCAGTTAAGTGCAAAATCCAGCATCCCATTGACCATTGGTGCTTCCTAACTGAGGTGTTAGTTGGGAGTCCTCCTTTTCAAAAGCAGGGTGTTTTTCACAGTTGTAATATTAATACACACCAGTAGCATGGAATTAAATAAAATAGACAGTAATTGCTATGTCTGTCATACTAATAATTATTGGTTAGAAAGACCTAAAATAAATATTGGACAATTATAGCCTTTCAAAAGTGGATAGGTTGGGTTAGTTCCTTCTATGCAGTTATTCCATCTCCAAGAGCTTTATGTCTTCCTCTGTGTACTGACTTCATTTCCGAAGGTTTGTCCCCTAGTTCTTGTTTCACGCTCAGGAGGAAATTAATTTTTTTCTCTCCGGATGCTGAAGTGTTTGGGCAGGAGTTCCCACTCAGTGTCAGGCTCCAGCACCACCACTCCCCCCTCCCCCAGTATTTTGACTGATGTGCAGAACTGAGTTGACATATGCCCAAAGGGTAGGCAAGCACTGTCCTCTGCAGATGCAGGCAGTATGCTCTGAAGCTTCTCAAGGGATAAATCAGGGGATAAATTCATCCAAATTGCCCTTTTTTACCTCCTTTTGGAATAATAACAATAAAAACAATCAGCTAAAACAATTGCTAAAGTGCTGACCAGACTCACACTTGCAGGATATTTTTTTAACTGTTTAGTGTTCAATTTAATTTTGCTTAAACATCTGGGTTGGAGGAGCTGCTCAGGTGGGCTGTTAGTTGGGCAAAATGTAGTGGTGGAGCTTGTCAAAACTTTTCATGGTAGTTTATGATACCATCTCATGAATTTGGAGGTTTATGAAATCTGGTTTTAGGATTTTGCTACAAATTTGAGATGGAAGCTAGTTACTGTCTAGAACAAAAGAAAAAATAAAAGAAGAAGAATAATTTGGTGAAGAACTGCTAAAGTTGAGTCAAAATTGAGAAGAGTCTTGTGGAGTGGTGTTAGACGAGCATTAAATGGCAGGGTCTGGATGAGGGACTGAGGCAAACCAGTTCTGTGCTTTGCTTTAGAAAGTCACCCTAAGGATAAATTCAGGGTGTGTTGCAGCCCAGCAATGTTTTACAGGCCTTTTAGACTTCTAAATTTTTTTTTTTTATTTTTTTTCCTTGATCACTTAACACTCAGGGGTCATTTCTCCCCCCTAATTTTTCAAGCATATCTCCTCACTGCAATGTACATCCCTCAGTGAAATAAGGGAAAAGCTTGGGGGAGGGGAATTAAAAAATAATCTTGCTTACAGTTAAATCTGTGTAAATTTAATCGTGGCAACAGAGTTAGTTTCTGCTTCAGCCCATCCTAGGCTTTTGTCCCAGCAATGGTATTATTGGTACTTGGAATTGATATAAATACCTTTTTGTTCAAAACTAGGAGAAGGGAGTTTGTGGGGTGTTCTTTTCAAGTGTTTTTACTTATTGCAAATACTCTGCATCCTTTAAATCCAGCTTAATTTAAAATGTTGGGATTCAAACCTCATTTTGGGGATTATACAGTGTAATTGGTTTGTTATATGATGAGTATTTGATGATCTTCACATTCATCATCTAATCAGGCAAAAAAAAGCCATAAAATTATAATCCCAAAAGATGTTTAATAACAATTTAAACTATTGAAGGCTTTATTTAAGCACATTAGGGGATTATAAACTACTCCCTTTTAATGGTGCCAAGAGGTAGATTCGAGGACTTCAAACACCTTTTAAAAAACAAATTGCCATGATTTAAAAAAAAAAAAATGAATGGGCTGAGGATTTCTTTCATGTAAATCCCATAATTTAATCATTATTTTTAACTGCTTTTAAAACAATTTCCTTAAGTGGTTAAATCTTACTGAAAGGAGAGACTGAGCAGAACGTAAAAGACATGACTGAAAGGTGTTGGCTTTAAAGTGAAAGGATTTTTTCTATTATGTTATCTGTATTTTTAACCTTTATTGATTACTTGATGCCATGATATGAAACAAAAAAATTAAAAATAAGCAATATGCAATCTATTTAGTAAAGCTGTTATTTTTTAAAAGAATTTACTGGAAATAGATAATTTGAATCTAGTGGAG